GGGGAGGGAGAGAGAGAAAGAGAGGGGGAGGGGGGGGGGGGGGGGGAGCTTGGCAAGATGGGTTTGGGAAAAATAGTCCAAAGGACCCCCAAACCCCATGTTTGAATTGAAAATTCAATTCGGAGTTCTCAAATCTGGCTCGCAACTAGTCCGAATATTAAACTTATGATCATGGTTTTCGTCAAACCTAGGAGAGAGGTGGGTTTAGAAAGATGGGTTAAGAAGTTAAGGATGCAAGGGTAATTATAGTACCTCTTAACATGGTTATGAATTGAATTGATCAAGGGTAAAATAATCATTTATAAGACAAATAGTTGTTAATAATTATGATATATCCATGGATTGAACATGTGTTTGTGTTGCATACAAAATATGGGTATAAATCGAATTTAATGTTTAATCCTAATTTTATAAAGAGGGGTTTGAGCTTGGAAGGTTTTGGAAAAACTAATTCAAACCCTCCTCAAAAATCCATCCAAACAAGCCCAAAAAGGATAAATAGTAACCCTACATTTAAATACTTCATTTATGAACTTCATAGTAATAGAACTACATGTCCTACCGAATTTATAACTTGCTATCCTCTTTCCTATCTGTTAAATATTTACCTCCATGGAAAGAATGATTCATTCGGATCAACATGAGAGTCCAATTATATTATATTGCCAGAATTCATGTTATATATTTGAAAGAGGTTGACCTCTTTGTTTCTCTCATGGTATAATCATCTTCCCGCTGACCCCCTTTCTTCTTGGTCCACAGAGACAAAATGTAAGACTGGTGCCAACAGTTCATCATGGAAGAAATGACTCACTAAACCAGAATCACCAAGTGATACTAATCTAATATAATAGAATCTAATAGAAAAGAACTGTATTTTCTGTATACTTTTTTTGGTTTCGTTGCTACCACGGGCTTTACGCAATTTATCGTATTATATAAATATCCCTTTGACACAACATAAGTCATCGAAAGGATCTCGATGACCCACCAAATTATGAAAGTTAGGATCTTTCAAAAAATGGATTCTTATTTGAAGAATGCATAACCGCATGGATAACCTCACACTAATCGGTTAATTTGGGATCCAATTCGAGATTTTTCTTGGGAGGTATCTGTGAAAAATTGGAATGGAATAATTTTAATTCATACAGAAGAAAAGGTTTTTTTATTGATTCAAACACTGTACCTATGAGATAAAGGAAGAGGAAAAAATCAAAGATTTCACACAATACTTTTGATCGAAAAATTAATCTAATCTATTTTGTACCCTTTGTTCAATGAGAAAGTTGGGGCAAATTCTAAAGGATCAAACCTATGGGACTTGAGGAATGATATAAAAAAAGAGGAAAAAATATTCAATTAAAAAAAATATAAGTAAATAAAAATGAAGTAGATGAACCTAGATTCCAAATGAATAAATTCAATCCACAAAAATAAACTGTTTCTAGGATCTAAGATGGTATATGACCCTTGGTAAAGCGGATTGGAACAAAGGAATTTGTTTATCAAATCCTAAATAGTGGAATTGTGATCAACATGTAAGTTCTACAAGACAGCCAGTAGACCAACAATGCTTTATGGCAAAAAAATTAGATGACTAAGAATTAGAATGTCCATAAACTGTGGTTAAAATGTGATTGTTAAGATGAATGTGTGATAAAATTAGGAAAGATATGATAGAAATAAGTATATTCATGAACCCGTAGTGTAAAAGTAGCACCAATAGAAAATAAATTGTGGAAAAATCAACTTAGGTGATTGGACATGTTTGTACTTAACTCAACTCCACTCAACAAAGCAAAGCCTTGTCCTAATATTTTTAGGTTTGACTACGGGAATCTTATTTTGCCATTGAGCTCTTAAGGGTCATGTTTTTTGTTAAACCATAAATTATCATATATTTTTTTACTATTTTATTTAAAATTAATTTTGGTCTTCCTCTAACCCTACATCTACTATTAATAGCTATTGTATCACTCTTTCTCACTGGTGTTGTATTAGGTGGTCTATAAATATGTTCAAACCACTTAAGTCGATTCTCCCTTACTTTATCTTTTATATGTCCCTTACTCTATCTCCTATATGTGCTACTTCTTTTTTTTCACAAATATGTTCATTCATAATTCTATCTTTTTTAATTTTATCCTAGGATCAAAATTTCGTATTGAAACGTTTTTATTTTCAAAAAGACCAAAACAAATTGACGATGGAATTGAAATTAAAATGCTTCAAGGTGTTTCAAGATATTTTAGCATGTTTGCACATTGTTTAGAGATGCTTTGGTGTATTTCAACTAATATTTTAAAATATTTTGGAAATAAATTTTTAATTTTTTTTTTCATTTCATTATGTTTTTAAAATGTTTCTGTTTCCTAGACAATAGAAAGAATGCACTGCAATGAAATTCCGATTCTTGGTTTTACCACACATGCATCTTAATATTCTGAGTTTTGTCGCACTCAATTTTTGGACATGTTTCTTTATTGTCTCGGTGCCATAAAGCATGGTGGGTCTTATAGATGTTCTATAGAACTTTTCTTTTAGTTTAAGAGGTAAGCATCTATCACAAAATACATCAGATTTATTCCTCCATTTAGTCCATCATGCATTAATTCTATAAGTAACATTGTCACCAATCTCACACTCTTTATGAATAATAGACCCTAAATATTTAAAGTTTTCATTCTTCGGTATCTCTTTAGATTCAATTTTTACTACTTTATTGTTTCGATTCCTTCTTTTACTAAAAGACATTCCATATATTCAGTTTTAATCCTACTTATCCTAAATCTTTTGATTCTAGAGCTTCTAGCTAGTTTTCTAGTTTATTATCAAATATTTTTTTTTTTTTTTACTTTTATCAATTAATATAATATGGTCCACAAATAATATATACCATGGGATCTCATTCTGAATGTGCCTAGTCAATTCATCCATAATCAGTGTAAAAGGATATGGGCTTGAAGCAGAACCCTGATGTAAGCCTATAGTAATTGAGAATTCATTAGTCTCTCCAGTGTCCTCGCTAAAGTCATTATATCATCATACATATCCTTAATAACATTAATATACCTAAGCTCATTACATCATCATGCATATCCTTAATAACATTAATATATCTAAGTAACATTTTTCTTCTCTAGACCCCCCATAGTATATCTCTAGGAACTCTATCATATATCTTCTCTAAGTGTATAAAAACCATATTAAGGTCCTTATTTTTCTCCGTATACCTTTGCATTAGTCTCTAAACTAAATGTGTAACTTTCATTGTTAATCTCCCATGTATAAATTCAAACTGATTATTAGAAATTGTTATTTCAAACCTTAATCTTTGCTCAATCACTCTCTCAAAAAGTTTCATCGTATGACGCATCGTTTAATACCTAAATAATTTGTGCAACTTTGTATGTCTCCCTTATTCTTTTATGTAGGTACTAGAATACTCTTCCTCCACTCATTGGGCATTTTCTTGGTCATTAAAATTGTGTTAAATAATTGAGTTAACCATGATACCCAACATTTGCTAGACACTTCTAAACCTCAATAGGTATACTATCAGATCCTTAAACTTTTTCTATCTTTATTTTCTTTAATGCATCGTTTACCTCCAACATCCTAATCCAACAAGAAAATGTGTTTTCTCTAATCATCTTATGATTTTTATTCTCCTTAATGTCTAAGCTTCCTAGATAATTTTCATTTAGTAACTATTCAACATAATTCTTTTACTTTTTTTTAGATTTACTTTGTTTGTACCAAAACCCTAAAGTTTTCACTCTTAATACATTTAATGTTATTAACATCTCTAGTTTTTCTTTCTCTTAATTTAGCAAGTTTATATATACCTTTCCCCTCATCCGTAGTTTAGAATAAAGAACATCATGTGCTTTGTGCTTAGCATCTCTTACCATCTTTTTTACTTCTTTATTTGCAAGCTTGTAACTTTTAAAGTCTTCATACCACTTTCTTTGTGCTTTTACCACAATTTATCTTTAATATGTGTTTTCTCGTCTCTATCATTTATCTCATTTTCATGATTCCTTCATTGAGTCTATGACTCGATCCTATGATTCCCCGTATTCTTGAGATTTTGGTTTTCGTAGGTATTTAGGTGATAGAGACACTACTAATTTGATTTCTTTTATTGCTACTCTCAATAACACTATTATGAATGGAGAGTCGGGTGATTAAAGGTAGATGTTAGAAACTTCAGAAGTCTTTTTGTGTAAATCATTCTTTGATTCCTTATTAGAAGAATTATCTTATCTTTCATCGTGCTTTGATGATTTGAAAGACTGAAGTACTTTTAAAGGTGCAAGTTTTTTTGCATGGATAGTTGCTCATGTTAAGATTAATACTAAAACATGATTCAAAAAAGGCGGCCTCATACTTGTTTTTCCCCTTAGTAGAGTGTGTAATGTGTAAAAGTGATGTTGAGAGTAGTGATCATCCGTTTTTACATTGCCCATTGCTTTATATGTGGTATCATTTCTATTGAGAGGCGGGATTGAGATGGGTGATTCTTGCAGTGGCATTTTCCTTGTAAGGGTTTGGAAGACTTGATAAGGGTGACACTCTATGAAATTGTGCTATCATTGCTATGTTTTGGGTTATATTTAGAAGGAGTGTAATATAAAAATTTTGAATTTTTGAAGATTGGATTAAGAGCGAGATGGACTATGTGATCGTATTCATTTTTTAGTGTTATTTTGGGTTTTAGTTTCAAAGGCATTTAAAGGAGTTCCTCTTTTTGGTATTTTAACGAGGTTGAGAGCTTCATATGATTTATAGGCTTCACTTGTTCTCTGAATTTTTTATTGTATTATTTTTATATTGGTTAGATTTCTTATCCAATCTCTTTTGATGTACACGCACTTTCTATTTTAATAAAAAAAGTTTGTCTTATCAAAAAAAAAAATAATAATTCAACCATCAAGTTTCTCTTTCTAATGATCGGTTACCTCTTGATTCTCCAAGAACCTCAATGGCTACTTTTTTAATATGTTCTCCCATCATATTCAACATTTTTTTTTTGGTTTCATCTTCTAAATTCCANAGTCTATGACTCGATCCTATGATTCCCCGTATTCTTGAGATTTTGGTTTTCGTAGGTATTTAGGTGATAGAGACACTACTAATTTGATTTCTTTTATTGCTACTCTCAATAACACTATTATGAATGGAGAGTCGGGTGATTAAAGGTAGATGTTAGAAACTTCAGAAGTCTTTTTGTGTAAATCATTCTTTGATTCCTTATTAGAAGAATTATCTTATCTTTCATCGTGCTTTGATGATTTGAAAGACTGAAGTACTTTTAAAGGTGCAAGTTTTTTTGCATGGATAGTTGCTCATGTTAAGATTAATACTAAAACATGATTCAAAAAAGGCGGCCTCATACTTGTTTTTCCCCTTAGTAGAGTGTGTAATGTGTAAAAGTGATGTTGAGAGTAGTGATCATCCGTTTTTACATTGCCCATTGCTTTATATGTGGTATCATTTCTATTGAGAGGCGGGATTGAGATGGGTGATTCTTGCAGTGGCATTTTCCTTGTAAGGGTTTGGAAGACTTGATAAGGGTGACACTCTATGAAATTGTGCTATCATTGCTATGTTTTGGGTTATATTTAGAAGGAGTGTAATATAAAAATTTTGAATTTTTGAAGATTGGATTAAGAGCGAGATGGACTATGTGATCGTATTCATTTTTTAGTGTTATTTTGGGTTTTAGTTTCAAAGGCATTTAAAGGAGTTCCTCTTTTTGGTATTTTAACGAGGTTGAGAGCTTCATATGATTTATAGGCTTCACTTGTTCTCTGAATTTTTTATTGTATTATTTTTATATTGGTTAGATTTCTTATCCAATCTCTTTTGATGTACACGCACTTTCTATTTTAATAAAAAAAGTTTGTCTTATCAAAAAAAAAAATAATAATTCAACCATCAAGTTTCTCTTTCTAATGATCGGTTACCTCTTGATTCTCCAAGAACCTCAATGGCTACTTTTTTAATATGTTCTCCCATCATATTCAACATTTTTTTTTTGGTTTCATCTTCTAAATTCCACACTCTTGTTAGTATTTTATTTTTAAACACAAATCAATAAGATTTTTTTTTTTTTGATCAAAAAAAAAAAAAAGCTTATGTTGTGTGGTTAAGCTCTCTCCTGGAATAACTTTACAGTCCTTATATGATTTACGATCCCCTTTGTTGGTTAGGAAAACTCTATCTGACTTTTATTTAATCCAATTTTAATAGTTATTAAATTTTCATCCCACTTTTTAAAGTGTGTTTGCTATAATAAGATTGTATGCTATAGCAAAATTTAAGACAGAATCTCTAGCATCATTCCTATCTCCAAATCCATTTCCACCATGCACCTTTTCATATCCACCCTGATCTTTTCCTATGGGGATGGTAAAGTCTCCTATATATACTCTTTCTCGTATAGGTATTGCTCTCATTAGTTCATTTATATCCACCAAAATTGAGTTTTAATATGTTCATCTGATCCTATTTGAGGTGTGTATGCACTAATAGTATCAATTATACTTCCCTCTATTACGAGTTTAATTAATATTATTCTATCTCATTTCTTAAGAATTGTTACCACTTCTTGCTTAAGATGTGAATCTACTATTATTCTTACACCATTTCTATGTCTGCCTACGAAGTAAACGTTGGTCAAAGTATGAAAGCTCCATTTGATTGAACTAGTATCCCCACCTGAAAGAGATGACAAACACTAACAAAACCTATATTTTCTACTTCTCTAGCTTTAGCCCTTCCCCACTTAGTTTCTTGTAGGTACACTACATTAACTTTCTTCTAATCATGGTTTCAACTAGTTTCATTCCTTTACGTGTTAATGTTCCTGTATTCCAAGTTGCTAAGATAGGTTTAGTATTCTGGACTGACTTCTTTATTCGCACTCCTCTAGAGTGACACAAGAATCTTTGTGGATTTTTCACTGTTTAGGAAATGCTCAGTATTTATGCAAATATTCTTTTGATTCATGTTTTAGTCTGATGAGTTTTACACTAGTTGTCACTTACCAGACGCAACCCTCCTCCCTTGTCTGAGCTTGGGACTAGCCATATACAAGAGTACACAGACGGAGTAATTGGACATGTAAATAGAAGGCCAAATAAAGTAGTGCAGGAAGAGAGATGTGTTACATCTCGGTGGTACTGTGAGATGTAGAGATGAATTGAAATTAACTTCTGATAAGATAATGAAAAGATGTGATATTTTTTGGTTTAACGGGAAATAGAGCCCTTGATAAGCACAGTTGAGGAACATATTCATGTAATTGAACCCAAATAGTTAAGGTAATGTTGAGTTGAGTTGTGACATAAATAGTGTAATTCAAGGTGTCCTTGAATTGAAATGTAGGGAATTGACTTCTGGCCGACCACAATCTGCCTATGCTCTACTGTAGTATGTGATACAGATTTGTATAATTATGTGTTACTTCTCTCTTACTATTACCCTATTGTTAACTACTTTGAGTGATTTAATTGGTTGTTGCTCTGATCACAGTGATGATCCAGATTCGAATAGCCTTCTCGAGAATTCCTTGAGTGCTAAGGAAAAGGTAATATCTGAACTAAACATGGAACTTCACAAGATCGAAACCACCTTATCAAATGAGCGAGAACAACACCTAAACGAGATCAAAAAGTTGAATGCATTGCTCAATGTGAAGGTATGCTATATTTCTATCCCACTGCTAGTTCAATGTTATGAATGAACGCCCTTTGGGTTAAGCGAATAACTGTAGTATTCATTTATTCATAAGGGTTATTCTTTCATGCCTAAATAATTTAGAATTGTGAACTTATGAGCAATGTAATGTATCACAAGTATTTATTTCCTAGCGCCTGCTTTGACTTTGACTATTATATGGTATGCCCAACACAAATTTGTGTGTTTTTATACATAGGTTTAGATAGTTAATATTTCCTCCTTTCACTTTTTCTACCTTCATTAACAGTTGAAACTTGAAGTAGGCAAGTTGGTAGTCTATTGTGAAATCTTGTTATGTCAACGAACAGCCTTGAAAGAGGTTTTGAATGATACAATGTCGAAATCTCAAAGTGCTTTTGTGAAAGGTACACAAATTCTTGATGTGACTTTAATTGCTGATGAGAAACGAAGGAATAATCTTATAATTGATTTTGATAAGGAATATAATCATGTGGATTGTGGTTTCTTAGATTTGCTATCAAAAAAGAAGGGTTTTGGGAGGAGATGGAGAAGAAGGATGTTTAATTTAATGTATCACAAGCATTTATTTCCTAGCTCCTGTATTGACTTCAATTATTATGTGGGAAAATCTGTTAATGCTTCAAGGAGATTCATTATCTCTTTTTTTATTTACTTTGGTGGTGAATTCTTTAAGTAAATTGGTTGAAAGAGCGTAAGAGTTTGAATTAATTGAGGGGTTTGTGGTGAGTAACAATACAATTTCGATTTCTCACCTTCTATCTACACATAATTCTATGTTCTTTCTTTCAAGGAATGAACAAAAGGTTCTTAATCTGTACTCCGTGGCACAAATTTTTTAACTTGTTTTAGGATTAAAGGTTAATTTGAGAAAAAGTTTATTTGTGAGTATTAATGTTTTGCAAGATAAAATTGATAGATTGTGAGGTGTTTTAGGGTGTGCTATTGATAAATGGCCTATGAAATACCTTGTTTTGCCCTTCGGGGGAAATCCAAGATCCGATAATTTTTGGGATCTAGATGGTGGAAAAATTTTATAAGAGATTAGATGGATTGAATATAGCTTTGTTGTCAAAGGGAGTTAAATTAACTTTAGTGTAGTCGATGCTTTGAAGTATCTTTGGAAGTGGCAAGAAATCGAGAGAATTATGAAATTTTTTTTTGTTGGGTAGTGGGGAAGGAGAAAAGGATTATCTGGTGAAATGAGAAATAGTGTCTAGACCTAGAAGTAAAGGGGGTTTGGCGATTGGAACTATTATCGCTAGAAACAAGGCCTTGATGGGAAAATGGTTGTGTAGATTTCCTTATGGCATATTGTTATTAAAAGTAAATATGGAATACACCATAATGGTGGGCATACTCATGAGGTTAATAGGGGGAATGCTTAGCGTCCATGGAAATATATAACTCAAGGTTGGTATTCATTTGTTCAGCACACTAGTTTGATTATGTGTAATGGGATTGCTATCCAATTTTGGGAAGATCCTTAGAGAAGAGCTAGACCAGTCTCTTCATAATTTTCTTGGTTGTATTGTCTTTCTCGGTCTCATCATGGGTCCATTGATTCTACGGTGTCTTGTTTGTTATGTCCTTTAAGTTTGAATTTAAAGTTTATTAGAAATCTCTATGATAGAGAAACTAGTGAGCTTTCTTCTTTATTGCATTTATTGGACTAATTGTAGGGTGCTGTGTTGAGACAAAAAATTTCAGATAAAAGGGGATTAGCTATTCTTTCCTCGAGGATTCTCTTGTAAATCTTACTTTGGTTTCCTTATCGATGACCCATCTATACAACAGTTTGAACCTTCCAAGATGACTTGGGAAGCGGGAATGCCCATTAAATTTCAAATATCTTCCTGGACTGTTGCTCAAAAAAAATTAATACCAATGAAATATCCAAAGGGGAAGACCTTGTATTTCTTACTTACACAATGGTGCGTGATGTGCAAAAGGAATGAGAACAGCATTGATCATCTCTTCCTTCACTGTTCATTTGCCTATGCGTTATGGTGTAGGTTGTTTGGGCTAGTGGAATTGTCTTGGATTGCTCTGTGTTCTTGTAGGGAGATGTTTGAAAAGAGTTTTGGGGTCTTAGAAGGAGCAAGAAAGCTAAATCTCTTTGGAGTGTGTGGTGATGGCTTTTTTTTATTTTGAGTATTTGGTTGGAAACAAATGCAAGAAATTTTTGAAGACAAAAGTGAGGACATGGATGAGATTTGGGGGAGAATTTACTTTTTGGCTTCTTTTTGGGTTTCCTTGTGCCCTCACTTTGCTGGAACTTCTTTATTTTTAATTAGGGCAGATTGGAAGTCAGTGTGACTTGTACTCTTCACTTTTTAGATTGATGCATTTACTTTTATGTTTGTTTTCATATTGATGAAATTCTTGTCCATCATACAATCCTTTTTGTATATTAATTAATACCATATTTGTTGTTGATCATCGGAAAAAGAAAAAAAACTGGATGGCCTGATAGCTGCTGGTGAGACTCTTGCGGAATTAGGTCTGCAGAGAAATCAAAGAAAGGAAACATTGGAGATTGACACAAACTTCAAAAGCAATCGGTCACATAGCTGCTTTATTCTTTTGCATGCTTTTTTGAGGTTCCATGATTGACCAATGCTGTTGCATTTCGAGCACAAAGGTGCAGTCAATTCAGATGTTGACCTTCACATTTGGTTCGAGTCTGCAGCTGTGCCAGGAAAAAAAAGTTGATTCTCTGCACAGGGGCTTCTAGGATACTGTTTATGTCAGGTCTAGCTTAGAAATTTACGCCTTTTAAGATTGATTAACTTTCTTTGACATTTGATGCTTGCATAAGCAACAAATCAGATGATGTTTATATTCTCATATACAATGGTTCTTATTTTTCTCTCCTTTCCCAGATGTTAGATTTCTGTCTAAACTTGAATATTACTTAGAAGCCAGAATGAAGCACATAGGCATGCCCTTTGTGTTGGAGGTCAATCTGTCAGAATGTGTTCATTATCGTTGTCATCATCGTCATTACTGTTATTATTTCCCTATGATGTAATTCCCTTGGTATTCATATTTAGTAGAAATCCATTGGCTTTTATTTCAACCTGTAATATTTAATTTCTTCTCTGTGACCGGCAGGAAATTGCTCTTGAGGAGATCAAGAAAGAGCTTCAGGTGAGGCCAACAGAAAAATTAGTTGACGATTTGCGGAAAAAAGTTAAAATTTTGCAGGTAATTCCATCCATTCTCTACAAAATTTTGGTTATTTAACTCTTTAAGAGCTCCTTCTAATGATATCTATCATCTTTATTTTTTGTAATTGTAGCTAACACATTGAAATCTGGTGGTCTAGCCATTCCTTTAGCAAATTGAGTCTAATTGTGGGGTGTTGTTGCTGAAAGGAAAGCACAAACCCAACTAGGGATGGTCCCAAGATTGAGAGGTTATGCATTGAATAGTGAAAAAGATGTCTGAAGCTGTAATTACGGCTGGTGTGGGCCACAGAACACCTCAATTACTTGTCCATTGAAGACTTCAAAGCTTTCAGATCATACCTGTTGTTCCCTTGATTGCATATCGTCCCTCATTTGTGCCATGTGCATTGCCTGACCACAAAAGCTAATGTGGTCAACCCCTACAGTGTAGGTCAGAAGCACCTCAAAACCAAAGTATCTGGCTCTCAATAAGTTACCTGTAAAGATTGGCATATGAAAAAGTGGAAAAAGATGAAAAGATTGTAATAGTTGATGCAAAATCCTTTTTTTTTTTTTGTCCTTATTCATATTATTCATATTTCTTGATCTTAGTGCAGACTTTGAAATTTTGCTGCATATCTTACTATGATAGGAAGTATCTTAAAGGCTAGTTGGTTGAGGGGCCTAAACTGAAGAATACCAGTGCTATGTTTCAAAATTAAGTATATCTCAGACAGATCTTGCATATAGATGCAAGGCATCCTCAACAAAGTTTTGGAGCAGATGCTTCTATCTGCTCAGTTTAGAGCTGTGTTTTTTGGTGAATAAAAGAAATCATCTCTTTCTCATTATCTTTGTTCATGTTTGTTTGGCCCTTCCATTGTCATGGTGGCATCTTTATGTGAATCAGTTCTCTTACACTTTTACTGATGGATGAATGTATAGGTATTCGTTGAACATAACAATAATTTTTTTCTGGTGGTTGTTAATTTGGGCCACATCTTTCTCATGAATGTCTTCGTTCATTATTTCAATTTTTTCTTATATTGACTTCTAACCATGTCAGTTTCCTAATTTTCTGCACACTTTTTAAAACTGGGAAGGTGATGAATACTATGGGTACACATGTTTCTATCAGACAAATTTTANTTTAATTAAGCTTTGATGGCATCTCACTCTCACATGATATGATCATTATAGGTGAACTAAATTTAACATACAGATTCAATTGTTCTTGCAATGGTATTTTGGACTAGAATGCAGGCAGTGATACTTGACGTTTTACATGGAATGGTATTGCTTCCCTATTCTTGGCCTATTGCCTGCATAAGTAAACCTGGGGCCTTTTCTGTGCTTGCAGTTCTTGCGGAGGCCAAGTGCCTTGGGGCGAGATACATTTGTGTGGAAAAGGATTCAAGCATTTTTACTTATTGAGAATGAATTAAATAAACCGTTTTATCTGATACTTTCATTTTCTGACTGAAAATTTTAAATCATGGTGTTATATTTGATATCTTTTCTATTGTTTAATCTTGCAATTCATGTCTTCAGGAATGTTTCATGAAGTCAAAGCCTTCCAACTGATTCCAAAATCGAATGAATTATGTCTAAGTTGTCAAAAAGTTTTTAAAGACTTCTCTTTTGTAGTCTCATGACATTGATTGTTTTGGAAATAAGTGGACAATGACTGGTTTCTGAGAATGATGGATATTAACGTGATTTGTTGTTTTTGAACAATTTAAATATAACGCTTTTCACGCACTAAATATAAATATTGAACTAAATTTGATGTGTAGTGCGTTAAAGGCGTCATGCCAAATCATGTCTTTAAAAACATTATTTCAAATAATCTTTTAATTCATGAAGGCGTTATTTAAAATAATGTCTTTTTAAAAGTGATTGAATTTGAGAAATAAATTTAAAAATAACTTATTTTGAAAAAAAAAATT